AAAAAAAAGTGTTATGCGATCCTATTTACTAGAAGTAGGTTCTCCTTCCTCAGTTATTCATCCTGGTCCGTCATTTTGACATTTTTAATCTAGCTGCGATAACGAAGCTTTCTGACGAAGAGCGATTTTTATTTTATATATTGTGCCAGGGCAGGCCGGGTATTATATTAGTACTAATTTAAAACTTGCATGTCAAAACAAAAAACAATCGTTTAATTCAGCAATATAATTAAATCATACCATTTTACTGATCCCGGTAATATTATAAATTATGTAAATCTAATAGCGTACGTATCTCATTTGACCCCGAGCACCGACAGAGGATCAGAGAACAGAATACGCCGTGGCCATCACAGCAGTTATCCCTTGGGGGGCCTCATGGCAAAATCAAACTAACCAGTCACTTATCCCTTTCGTTTGCATAAACCACTGTATAATTATAAAAAAACACAAAGTAAACTCTCTCCGATACATACCCATTAACATATTAAACTAAGTTCATCTGTGTTCAAACTCACACAATGATACTAGCGAGGTTAATAGTTTTAGATATTTATTCATAACATAAACAGCGCTAGCATTTCTGTCGATTTTATTTCAGCTTAACCCGGCGCTATCCGGAAGAAAACATGCACCGTACTGACTGCTAGGGCAGTTATTTTCTGCTTTGAATACTTCACACTGGCAATAATGATTCCGTAATGTACCCCTTGCGCTATCTTTTGACCATTTGGCAACTATTCGCTTCGTAGCTGACACGGTACAACACTTTTCTTTGGCTTAGTTCACACGGCCAGTCATTTTGTTTACAAAGAAATGGTGTGCTATGCGCATGCGCTAGTAGAGGGAAATCCCTGAACAAAACGTTGGTCAGACAGGTAGAAATACCGATGATTATCTTAGATTTAATTATTTTTATGAATCTATTTCAGCCAAATCCGATCGGCATTTTCCATAAGGAGTCTCACTTGATATGTGTATGTAGTATTTGAAAAAAGACACAAAAAAAAGTTACTTCAGCGTGATGCCCCTTTAAATATGTTCATAATAAGACAAATTCTTCAAAATCCTGAAGATTATCAGAGCGTAATGGGTGCATGATTTGTATATCGGCAAATGATGGTGCAATAACACACCAGGTAGTAAATGAATCTGAAGGAAATGGACTACTAATTCCAGATAAGAACGGCATCATTTGCACAGTATAGAAACAAAGTTATTACTGAAAACAGAACAGTGACAATGTCTAGAACACCACCCTACCTTGACACTAGATCCAATCTGGGTTCAATCCTGGGAGGAGGAGGGAGAGTGGGTGGGACGGGTTTATCCCGTGGCCCTATCATCTGGGCCCCAAACATAGCATGGTTCTGATACTGAGGCGACTGTTGTGTAGGGTGGCCCTGCATCATGAACCTATTCTGAATCTCCTGGTTCTGAGACAGTTGGTACCTCTGGGAGTCCGACTGAGATCCTGGAAATCAGAACAAGATTCACTGCCAATTGTTGTTATGTAACAATTGTCTGATTGTTAGGGCTGCTGAACACTATTACTAGGTTACTTATGTTTGTTTTGTTTAAACTAACAACAAGCTATGACAATTCATTGTTCGTTTATCAAATAAGGTTGGATCTAGAAATCTGATGCTGCTTTCAGGTGAGCCTTGACAAAGCCTTGCAAGGCCTACATAAACAGATTTTATACCCAATAATGTGTAACATTTAAAAACGAACAAGCCGGTTGTTCCGCATAAATGACCAGGCCCTGGCTGTCTAGTTTATCAGAGTACACATACCAACTACTGGCCGATCATGACCGTCAGTGATGTATTTCCTTCGTGTTTCTATGTCGCGTGGCCGAGACAAACCCACAAATGACTCTAAGGGAGGTAATCCAACCAAGAGAGTACTGCCATAGTAATCGGCAACACCTTCAAGGTACGAGGCACCAAAAGTTCCTTTTAGTTGATTTTCACCTGTACAAAATTAAAGATCAACTTTGAGTCTTAGTTGCACTGCATTCATGGCCCTTGTATATCTAGTCAGTCGACATCAGAAGTACCAATAACAATATGCCACATGATGTCAGAATTCCAGCGTTATTTACATTACCCGGCTGTTACCTTATTATCAATCAAAATTACCAGGTAAATACCTCTAAAGAAACACAATAATCTTGAAATGAAAATACAATTTTAAACCTTACTATGTGCAAAAATTGGCATAGAAGGTATGGAAGAAAAAAACTACAGGAATTCTGTCATTTATCCCAGATTTAGCATGAGTAAAACAGAGACACCTCACCTGTCAACAAGGCAGCACTACCATGCACAGGGCTGATAGAAAAAAAACTGCCAACACGAGGCTCCTGCAGGGGCACGACTGGTAGTGAATTCAGGCTGCTGTAGAAACTCTCCAGCTTCCCATCCTTGTCTTTGTCCTTTGAAGGATCAGCATTCTTGGCCTTGCTCTTCCTTTGCCTTTTCTTTGGCTGAGGCTGTGTGGGGACTGGCAGTACAGGAGGAGTGGTGACTGGGGGAGGACCTTGACCCTCTACAATAGGTGGCACTGGAGCAGGCATCATCGCCTGTTCCTCTTCTCCAGCTGGAGTCTCCTGGGCTTGCTGCTCCTGCTGTTTCTTCTTCTTCCTCTTTCTTGTTTCTCCTGTTTTGCGCTTGGCTTTTCGTGTCTCCTCAAACTCCTTCCTCTTGGCTTCATACTCTTGTTTCCTCATTTCTGCAAGGACAAGACCCTCTATAAGATATAAGAATTTTCAAAAATTAATTTTACAGTGAAACCTGTTAAGACTGCCCAAGGGAGTAGTGTGCAAAAATAGTCCTCACAGACGGATGGTCTTTACAGACAAGATGTGATATATAAAACTGTTTGGAGTATCATTGATAGATTATCTTTATAGAGGTGGTCACTATAGACAAGTAGCCTTTATAGACAGGTTTCACTGTATTTATCACTTAAGAAAAATAACTCCCCATTTAATTTCTGAGACATATATTGAGTCTCCTTCAAAAAGATAACATATTCTTGACACCTACCAATGAATGTAAATGATGTTATTACCTAGTATTTTTTCTTTTTCCTCAGGTGTTTTGATGTCCCACTCTTCAGCAGAGATCTCTGCCTCCTTCAACAGTGGCATCTGCTCGATCATTTCCAGCTGTCGCTGCTGTTCAGGTGTCAGCTGTACAGGTGAGCCATCTTCGGATTCCTACAAGACATAGGGTGTCTCTCATTACCACCACTATACTAGAGTGTTAGTATCTCTACCCATTTACACACATCTATATGGGACAAACAAGACATAGGGGGTCTCTCATCACCACCACTATACTAGAGTGTTAGTATCTCTACCCATTTACACACATCTATATGGGACAAACAAGACATAGGGGGTCTCTCATTACCACCACTATACTAGAGTGTTAGTACCTCTACCCCTTTCCACACATCTATATGGGACAAACAAGACATAGGGGGTCTCTCATTACCACCACTATACTAGAGTGTTAGTATCTCTACCCCTTTACACACATCTATATGGGACACACAAGACATAGGGTGTCTCTCATTACCACCACTATACTAGAGTGTTAGTATCTCTACCCATTTACACACATCTATATGGGACAAACAAGACATAGGGGGTCTCTCATTACCACCACTATACTAGAGTGTTAGTATCTCTTCCCCTTTACACACATCTATATGGGACAAACAAGTCATAGGGTGTCTCTCATCACCACCACTATACTAGAGTGTTAGTATCCCTACCCCTTTACACACATCTATATGGGACAAACAAGACAATAAGGTGACTCCCTTAGGAACCCTACTTACCATAGTTCCCCCATCAGCTGATCCAGGTAGCATCTGTTTCTTGAATGCATTCATTCCCGCGGTGCCCAGAAGCTGCTTTAGGATGGCATTCTGTCGGATCTTGAGGTCATCTTCCTCAGTAAGCATACCTACATAAAACAAATACAAATGTTTTTGACACTAATGTTGACAAAAGAAATGCCTGCATCCACTTAGATCTTACTAACATCTTACTTCTTAACATCTTAGGTTTTCTGTGAATGTGATTTGTTAACATGTTTACTCATGTCAAAATAGCAAAGTTCCGAACTATTGATAAACAAGTAATCATCACAAAGAAATTTTTTCTCTAGGGATTTCAAATCTGTTAAAGGATTTGGTTATTAATTTGAACAAAGTAAAAAAGAAATTGGACTTGCACTTTAATACAGAGTTTGGACAAGTTAAATAAATGCTGATACATTTGTAGTGTACAATGAGGAATTTTTGACTGGTGAAAGAGACTTACCAGGGAGTTTCTGGGAGATGTCCATGGGTTCTTCTTTGATGCGTATCTCCCCAGACAGCTGTCGAGCTAGACCCTCAGGACCACTCATCATCAACTCATTCTTGATCATTGGTGATGTAGGCGTGTGAATGTGAATGCCAGACTGTGGACTTGGGTTGGAGCTGGCACGAGACGGTGTCCTGGAAGGTGTACAAGATGGTGACGGGCTCGGGTGTGGCATAGGAGGTGTACAATTTGGTCCCGAGATAGATGAAAGAGAGACCGGCAGTGAAGGTGTCAGTGTTGTGATGGGTACAGTGGACAGGGCTGTCATCAGTACTCCTGGAAGGCCTGCATGATCCTGCATTTGAGAGTGCACACCCATATAGGGTGGATGAGGCCCTGCCTCTGAACCTTGAGGCGACGACATCTTATTGGCCATAGCTACCATGTGATCCTGGAATCTCTGTCCACCAGGTGGATTACCTCCGGAGCCAGGTGGCATTCCTACCATGTGAGGAGGCATTCTTTGAGGAAAGCCTGGTCCCATAGGATACTGTGGATGTCTCATTCGCATCATATTCTCCATTTGGTGATTGGAAGCGACTAACTGTGGGGCCCCTGGAGAAGTGTTGGAATAAGGTGGGTGTGACAAATGTTGGTGGCTGGCCATTGTTGACATGGGCATAGTGCCTGGGGGAAATTGCTCTCCCATGGATTCCATCATCCCTTGTGGCCCCATGTGAGATGACATCGGCGCACCATCTGTTGACATCTGCTCTGGACGCAACATTGGCGGTGGCATCCTCTGCATGTGAGGTGGCATGTGGTACTGTGGATAGCCAGGTGGCATCTTCATTCGTTGGTGTGAAGGCATGTGCTGCAGGCCTGGCGGTGGCCTTGCTCCCTGTGGAGGGTATGGTCTAGGCCCCATCATGGACATCTGTGGGGGTCTCTGCTCGGGACCCATCATACCCATTCTAGTGTGGGGAGGCATCCTGGGCATGCCCTGTGCCATGGGGTAGGTTGGGACCATACTCGGATGACCTCCCTGCCTAGAGACAGCTATGGAGGTGTTTGGTCCTGGCATGGATGCAGATGGCATCATCTGTCTTGGTATTGGACCCTTTTGGCCTCCTTGATACATGTGTTGAAAAGGAGGCTGATGTGGACCAGGTCCTGCCACAGATGAAGATAGTCCTGTTGATAAGGCAGTGGAGCTCGGGATGGATGCGGCTATTGACGAGTGAGCCATTGCTTGTGATAACATTGTTTGTTGTTGTAATTCCATCACAGTTGGATGTGAGACTGACGTCTGCTCCACAGTGTCACTAGCAGAGGTCTGAGGGATGCCTGGAGGTGCAGCGAAGCCGGTTGGCACAACACTAGCCATTTGCTGTAGAGCAGAGGATGCAGAAGATAGTGCCATACCTGGAGTGTGAGCAGGTATACCAGCTGCCTGTGGCATGGATGGCATGAGTCCAGGGTGTCTTTCAGCATGCTGCTGATGTGGCATGGCATGTTTAACCGAGGCACCTGGAGTTGCATCAGGGGGTAAATGTATTGACACAGAGCCTGGTGCAGACTGAGGTATAGTCGTGATACTATGTTGTGTACATGGAGGCGCATGTGATGCAAGTGATCCATGTGTTGATGTAGGCAATTTGGCTTCCAGAAAACCCTCGGTTGATGCAGGCATCTTGCTTGGTACAGAATTTGGTGTGGACAGAGGTATATCAATTGCAATGGGACTTTTATCTGAATGTTGCATCAGGGGTGCTGTGGGACCTTCTGCTGTTTGTGGCAATTGGGCTGGCTTAGAACCTCTAGGACTTGTTGATGGTGTGGGCACCAATTTTGGTTCAGATCCAGAATTTAAGGCGACATGTGGGTATGCATCAGTGGACGGAATGACAACTTCACTCTGACTTGATATAGGTGGAATTGTTTTATCGCCTACCTCAGGATAGGAGGTGGAGACTAGAGTAGGTATGTGTGTCGATGGTGGAGCAATGGATGACACAGGTAATACTGGAGCTGGAGCAATACTTGATGATGATGGAGTGGCTATACGTGTGTTGGCACAAAGAGATTCTGCTGAGCCACCAAATGTGACAGGACTGGAAACTGGTGGCTGTGTTGTCATGGTTGTAACTGTGTCTGTTGTGGGACAGTTTTCTGGAGCAGTATTTGGAGTGATGTGTGTAGGTCTGGATACAGGTACCACTTCCCCAGTGAAAGCAGATCCTGACGAAGGCACAAGGGGCTGATGATGAGATGGTACATCAGATGAAGCGTGACCCATAAAGGACAAAGGAGCAGTCCTGGGAAGGACAGGAACAGGAGGCTGAGGTGAAGGTACCGCCTCATCCTTACAAACTGGTCCAGTACTTGAAGGTGGGGTCGGACAGACTGGATGGACCACAGTGGTCACAACAATAGGCTCCGGGACAGTAGACAAATTGGTTGTGGCCACATTTGGAGGAGCGATTGGTTTGAATATGTTGACAGGGACATTTTTAGATATTGGGGACGATCGACATTGTGACTGAACCTCACTTTGATTGACCTGATTTGGAAAAGGCACTGGGTGCTGATCATTTGGAATAACAGGAGGGCCAGTGTCCATTGGTTCAGAATTGTTTTCAACTTGTTCAGTACTGTCACTCTGAGGGTTCGATGTAACAATGGAAGTATCTGGTTGAGATGGAGGTGGAGGTGTGTTACAGTTTCTACCGTCTGCACAAACACCATTTTGGTTCTCAGGTGGAGGTGTCCCACAATGAATACCGTCAGAACAAACTCCTTGTTGATTTTCAGGTGGTGGGGTCCCACAATGAATACCGTCAGAACAAACTCCTTGGGGATTTTCAGGTGGTGGGGTCCCACAATGAATACCGTCAGTACAAACTCCTTGTGGATTTTCAGGTGGAGGGGTCCCACAATGAATACCGTCACTACAAACTCCTTGTGGATTTTCAGGTGGTGGGGTCCCACAATGAATACCGTCATTACAAACTCCTTGTGGATTTTCAGGTGGAGGTGTCCCACAATGAATACCGTCACTACAAACTCCTTGTGGATTTTCAGGTGGTGGGGTCCCACAGTGAATACCGTCGCTACAAACTCCTTGTTGATTCACAGGTGGTGGGGTGCCACAATGAATACCGTCGCTACAAACTCCTTGTTGATTCACAGGTGGTGGGGTCCCACACTGAATACCGTCAGAACAAACTCCTTGTGGATTCACAGGTGGTGGGGTCCCACAATGAATACCATCACTACAAACTCCTTGTTGATTTTCAGGTGGTGGGGTCCCACAGTGAATACCGTCACTACAAACTCCTTGTTGATTTTCAGGTGGTGGGGTCCCACAGTGAATACCGTCACTACAAACTCCTTGTTGATTTTCAGGTGGTGGGGTCCCACAGTGAATACCGTCACTACAAACTCCTTGTTGATTTTCAGGTGGTGGGGTCCCACAGTGAATACCGTCACTACAAACTCCTTGTTGATTTTCAGGTGGTGGGGTCCCACAGTGAATACCGTCACTACAAACTCCTTGTTGATTTTCAGGTGGTGGGGTCCCACAGTGAATACCGTCACTACAAACTCCTTGTTGATTTTCAGGTGGTGGGGTCCCACAGTGAATACCGTCAGAACAAACTCCTTGTTGATTCACAGGTGGTGGAGTCCCACAGTGAATACCGTCACTACAAAATCCTTGTGGATTTTCAGGTGGAGGTGTCCCACAGTGAATACCGTCAGAACAAACTCCTTGTTGATTCACAGGTGGTGGGGTCCCACACTGAATACCGTCAGAACAAACTCCTTGTGGATTTTCAGGTGGAGGGGTCCCACAATGAATACCGTCACTACAAACTCCTTATGGTTTTTCAGGTGGTGGGGTCCCACAGTGAATCCCGTCAGAACAAACCCCTTGTTAATTCACAGGTGGTGGAGTCCCACAGTGAATACCGTCACTACAAAATCCTTGTGGCTTTTCAGGTGGAGGGGTCCCACAGTGAATACCGTCACTACAAACTCCTTGTGGATTTTTAGGTGGTGGGGTCCCACAGTGAATACCATCACTGCAAACTCCTTGTGGATTTTCAGGTGGTGGGGTCCCACAATGAATACCGTCACTACAAACTCCTTGTGGTTTTTCAGGTGGTGGGGTCCCACAGTGAATACCGTCAGAACAAACTCCTTGTGGATTTTCAGGTGGAGGTGTCCTACAATGAATACCGTCAGAACAAACTCCTTGTGAATTTTCAGGTGGAGGTGTCCCACAATGAATACCATCACTACAAACTCCTTGTGGATTTTCTGGTGGTGGGGTCCCACAATGAATACCGTCACTACAAACTCCTTGTGGATTTTCAGGTGGAGGGGTCCTACAATGAATACCGTCAGAACAAACTCCTTGTTGATTCACAGGTGGTGGGGTCCCACAGTGAATACCGTCAGAACAAACTCCTTGTGGATTTTCAGGTGGAGGTGTCCTACAATGAATACCGTCAGAACAAACTCCTTGTGAATTTTCAGGTGGAGGTGTCCCACAATGAATACCATCACTACAAACTCCTTGTGGATTTTCTGGTGGTGGGGTCCCACAATGAATTCCGTCACTACAAACTCCTTGTTGATTTTCAGGCGGTGGGGTCCCACAATGAATACCGTCACTACAAACTCCTTGTGGTTTTTCAGGTGGTGGGGTCCCACAGTGAATACCGTCGCTACAAACTCCTTGTTGATTTTCAGGTGGTGGGGTCCCACAATGAGTACCGTCACTACAAACTCCTTGTGGATTTTCAGGTGGAGGGGTCCCACAATGAATACCGTCACTACAAACTCCTTGTGGATTTTCGGGTGGTGGGGTCCCACAATGAATACCGTCACTACAAACTACTTGTGGATTTTCAGGTGGTGGGGTCCCACAGTGAATACCGTCACTACATTTTTCAGATGGAGGCTGTGGCCCACATTGAACACTATCACTAAAATCTTGGCCAGGTTTTTTATCATCCTCTGTCGATAAGGTTGCTGGCTGACTAGATATGGGAGAACCACTTGATGAAGGAACCTGCTGATGCTGTAATTGTCCATGCATCCCTCCAGAAGGCTGTGAGCCGTGCTGCTGAGGATTCATCATACGAAGCTGTGACTCTGATAAAAGAGGAAAGTTCTGTGGACGTGGACCACGTGGACTAGGGTAGTTCAGAAGTCCCTGATGTCCTACATGGCCTGGGGATCCAGCTGGTCCAGGACTGATTTGCCTATGATGGCCAGGAGGTCCCCTTGGACCCATATAGCCAGGAGGACCTTGTGTACCTGGCTGAGTAGTGGGAGCAGAAGAATGAGGTTTTCCACCGGGTCCTTGGTACCTCATAGGCCCAGGTCCCATCTGAGGAAATGGTCCATATGGAAATCCAGGGCCAGGCGCTCTAGGTGACATCCTTTCTGCAGAAGCTTGCTGAGACTGTCTGCTGGCAGATTTATCCTGTTGAATTTGTCTGGGTTCGGCCCCTGGTCCCCTAGGACTCCCTGCAGCATTTGGACTTTGTGTTTCATGTGCATGCGGACTCTGCCTTTCCATCATGGCTCCATAAGGACCCTGTCTGTCTGAGTATGGTCCTGCTTGTCCCATTTGTCTTGGGCTCTGTCTGTCCAAGTGTTGACCGATTGGATGTGGGCTCTGTCGTGGGCTGATGTGATCATATGTCATCCCCATGTAAGGCCCACCCTGCAAAGCTTGACGTGGACTCTGCCTGTCTGAGTGTTGACCCACAGGACTCTGTCGAGGACTGTGATGATCATGGACTATACCCAAATACTGACCTGCACTGTGTGGACTCTTTCTTTCGGACACTCTGACACTTTCCTGCATGTGTGTGGTATGCTGATCAGGGTGGCTGCCTGGAATCCCCATATGTGCAGGCTTACCTGCTGCATGAGGACTTTTCCTTTCCTGCATACCTCCAGGGTGTGGACTATGACTAGCTGCATGAGGGCTTTTCCTGTCTTGGCCAGGATGGGGACTCTGTCTTTCCTGCATACTGGCCATATGTGGACTTCGTGGTGGCACACCCTGCCTTTGCAAATTGTGGCCATGTGGCCCTTGTGTCATAGGTCCTATCTGGGCCATGTGAGGAGGTAACCCCAATATGGCCTGCTGACTGGAGTATGGGTATGGCCCAGTAGGTGTCCCATTGGGTACCACAGACTGTAGGCCGGCAATACCAGAGTGAGGCTCAGGCTCCTTCCCAGGCGGGCCACCTTCATGATGTGTAAGGGTAACGGGTGATTCTGTGGGACCCTGAACCCGCTGTGGCACGCTCTGCTGGATCATCACATTCATTGGCATTATAGGCTCACTTTCTGTATGGCTGTCCTCAGCCTCCACACGGGTCTCCTGATGGGCAGCAGACATCTGTGGTTGTGATGGTGGTGGAGGTGGTAATTGCTGTTGCCCAGGAAGACCTGGCGGTCGCTGATTAGTGTACATTTCTGGCTTACCAAGGGCCATGTCTCCAGGGCCAGGTGGTCGCACTGACAACCCTGGATGAGGCACTGTCTGGCCAGATACTTGACCTAGTCCAGCAGGGGATGGTGCAACACTGCCAGCAGGTGATGTCGCTGTGACATCTTTCGGCTGAGAGGTTTCAGGCTTTTTGTCAGAACTAGCAACAGATGCTGGGGATTTACTGGAATCTTGTGACTTAAATGTATCGGGTTTGTCTGAAGGCTGAGCTTTGACCAGGCCTTTAGCTGTATTATTCAGGATCTCCATTATCCTTTTCTCAGTCTCTGACTGCGGGGTGAACTGGATCGGAGGTCGCGCCTCGGCTGTTGGAGGACCTGGATTGGCCGGAGTGGTAGAAGCAGTAGAACCAGCATCTGTTAAATGAAAAGACAATCCATATAAATGTTCCAGGTAAACATGTTTTCAAGAATCAAATACATTTTCTATGAATTTTGTCCGAAAGGATTATATCTGAAGACAGAGAAGAAACCTGAAACATGATTTGTTTACCAGGGAAATGACAGGCTTGTAAATATAAAAAATATTCAGTGGTAATTTCTTGTCAACAGATATTCTATTTGACCGAATAAGGGCAGAGGTTAATGAGTGGCAACTGTCATTTAGATTTTGTTTCTTGTGCAACACATTTTGACCATTTTCAACCATGGCAGAGAAATGAAAGACTATTCATCACACTGGAATTTCCCCATTAATGAAGTGGTTTATCATCCCGAGAGACTCTCTATTAATAAATTGGTTTATCATTGCGAGAGACTCCCTCCCCATTAATGAAGTGGTATATCATGCCGAGAGACTCCCTATTCATGAAGTGGTTAATCATGCCGAGAGACTCCCTATTACTAAAGTGGTTTATCATGAGGAGAGACTTTCTATAAATGAAGTGGTTTATCATTGCGAGAGACTCCCCATTAATGAAGTGGTTTATCATCCTGAGAGACTCCCTATTACTGAAGTGGTTTATCATCCCCAGAGACTCTCTATAAATGAAGTGGTTTATCATCCCGAGAGACTCTCTATTAATGAAGTGGTTTATCATCCCCAGAGACTCCCTATTAATGAAGTGGTTTATCATCCCGAGAGACTCCCTATTACTGAAGGGGTTTATCATCCCGAGAGACTCTCCATTAATGAAGTGGTATATCATGCCGAGAGACTCCCCATTAATGAAGTGGTTTATCATGCCGAGAGACTCTCTATTAATGAAGTGGTTTATCATCCCGAGAGACTCTCCATTAATGAAGTGGTTTATCATCCCGAGAGACTCCCCATTAATGAAGTGGTATATCATGCCGAGAGACTCCCTATTAATGAAGTGGTATATCATGCCGAGACTCCCCATTAATGAAGTGGTTTATCATCCTGAGAGACTCCCCATCTGAAAATTATAAAACCCAGAACCAAAATTATCAGAATTTTAAAGAGAAACGCTTCAGTTTTATTTTCTTCAAGTCCACGGGGCACCTTCCGAAGATGTACCCTGATTAGGTCAAATAAACTACAATTATACACTAAAAAACCACACACATACACACACAAAATTATTGTGAGAAAAATCAACATTTCATACATTAAAATATCACAATAATAATTTCATATAATCACTCATAACCATACATAAGTTATTTTAAACAGCCCACATCAAATTTTAAAAGGTTTGATAAGGCTTTTCATTTTGCAGTACTATACATATTGAAGAAAAATTCTGACAATGTTTGATCTTGCTCATTTTATATTTAGGAATTATAATCATTAAAAAAACAAACAAAAAAAACAGTGAAAAATAAAATTGTTTAAAAAAACAATAAACAAACAAAAGGTGATACAATACAATGAGTAATCCATTTAAAGTAAAGTTTTATAATAAATAACTGATAAAAACCAAATATATTTTAAAGTCAATAAAATTCTTATAACAAATTTTGATTCTGAAACAATCATTATTACTTTCTGCAGGTTGCTTCTTTTTCTTCTTTCGTTTTTTGGGTTTAGGTTTTTCCATTGGCTGTTCCTGTCCAGCAGAGCCCACCTCAGAAGGCTGTTGTTGCATATTTGCAGAGGGAGGGAGACCAAAGCCTGGAACAGCAGGGTGAATGAAGTCTAAATTGACAGAAGAGCATCAACTTGGACAAATACTCCCATGCAATTATAAGTATTCTAACCCTTTTCCAGACTCTTAAGCAAATGACAGAGCATCATGAACATGGACAATTGTTTCCCAGCATGCTCAATACAATAGGATCCTTCTATCAGGCAAGGTCATCCCAAGACAGTTGATCCTCATGCTTCATGCACAGAGAAAGGAGTTAGTCTGTAAGGTTAGTGTGTACTAGGCAATGTCACACTGTAACAATGTTAATGGGTTAGAAAGCAGGCACACACACACCAGACAGGGCCAATACACCTCCTTAAAATTGGAGGATACCCAACACCTACATTGCTCAAATTTGTGCTCTAAAAAGTGAATTGTCACTTTTTTCATATGACCTAAATATTTGTACTTCAGAATTTTACTGTAAAGCTAACATTCTTATTGTCAGTTAACAGAGTCACTGAACCGATAAGTCAGGTCAGTTGAGGGAGATAAAACAGTGTCTATGTGTAGTGTGAGTCAATGTTTAGTTGAGAGATAAAACAGTGTCTATGCATGGTGTGAATCATTGTTTAGTTGAGAGATAAAACAGTGTCTATGTGTGGTGTGAATCATTGTTTAGTTGAGAGATAAAACAGTCTATGTGAAGTGTGAGTCAATGTTTAGTTGAGAGATAAAACAGTGTCTATGTGTAGGGAGTCAAGAGATACAACAGTGTCTATGTGTAGGGAGTCAATAGATACAACAGTGTCTATGTGTGGTGTGAGTCTATGTTTAGCTGAGAGTTAAAACTCTTTGTGTGGTGTGACTCAATGTTTAGTTGGGGGATAAAACAGTGTCTATGTGTAGGGAGTCAAGAGATACAACAGTGTCTATGAGTAGTTTTAGTCAATGCTGAGCTGAAAGTATGTGTGGTGTGAATCATTGTTTAGGTGAGAGATAAAACAGCGTCTATGTGTAGTGTTAGTCAATGTTTAGTTGCGAGATAAAACAGTGTCTATGTATGATGGGAGTCATTGTTTGGTTGAGAGATAAAACACTGTGTGGTGTGAGTCAATTTTTATTTGGGAGATAAAACAGGGGGTGGTGATTGTCTATCTTTAGTTGAGAGCTAAAACAGTGTCTATGTATGATGGGAGTCATTGTTTGGTTGAGAGATAAAACATTGTCTATGTGTAGTGTTAGTCAATGTTTAGTTAAGAGATAAAACTCTTTGTGTGGCACGAGTCAATGTTTAGTTGCGAGATAAAACAGTGTGTATGTGAAGTGTGAGTTAATGTTTAGTTGAGATGAAACAGTGACTATGTGAAGTGTGAGTTAATGTTTAGTTGAGAGATAGAACTCTTTGTGTGGCATGTGTCAATGTTTAGTTGGGGGATAAAACAGTGTCTATGTGTGGTGTGAGACAATGTTTAGTTGAGATAAAACAGTGCCTATGTGAAGGGTGAGTCAATGTTTATTTGGGAGACAAAACAGTGTCTGTGCATGGTGTGAATCATTGTTTAGTCGAGAGATAAAACAGTATGTGGTGTGAGTCAATGTTTATTTGGGAGACAAAACAGTGTCTGTGCATGGTGTGAATCATTGTTTAGTCGAGAGATAAAACAGTGTGTATGTGAAGTGTGAGTCAATGTTTAGTTGAGAGATAAAACTCTTTGTGTGGCATGAGTCAATGTTTAGTTGAGAGATAAAACAGTGTCTATCTGTAATGTGAGTCAATGTTTAGTTGAGAGATAAAACAATGCCTAAGTGTAGTGTGAGTCAATAGATAAAAAATGTCTATGTGTAATGAGTCAATAGATAAAACAGTGTCTATGTGTAGGGAGTCAATAGATACAACAGTGTCTATGTGTAGTGAGTCAATAGATAAAACAGTGCCTCAGTGTAGTGAGTCAAAGATAAAACAGTGCCTAAGTGTAGTGTGGGTCAATAGATAAAACAGTGTCTATGTGTAGTGTATGTCAATGTTTAGTTGAGATAAAACTGTATCTATGTGTGGTGTTAGACAATGTTTAGTTGAGAGATAAAACAGTGTCTATGTGTGGTGTGAGTCAATGTTTAGTTGAGAGCTAAAACAGTGTCTATGTATGATGGGAGTCATTGTTTAGTTGAGAGATAAAACAGTGTCTATGTGTGGTGTGAGTCAATGTTTAGTTGAGAGCTAAAACAGTGTCTATGTATGGTGGGAGTCATTGTTTGGTTGAGAGATAAAACAGTCTATGTGAAGTGTGAGTCGATGTTTAGTTGAGAGATAAAACATTGTCTATGTGTAGTGTGAGTCAATGTTTAGTTGAGAGATAAAACACTGTGTGGTGTGAGTCAATGTTTAGTTGAGAGATAAAACAGTGTCTATGTGTAGTGTGAGTCGATGTTTAGTTGAGAGATAAAACAGTGTATATGTGTAGTGTGAGTCAATGTTTAGTTGAGAGATACAACAGTGTCTATGAGTAGTTTTAGTCAATGCTGAGCTGAAAGATAAAACAGTGTATATGTAAAGTGTGAGTCAATGTTTAGTTGAGAGATAAAACAGTGTCTATGTGTAGTGTGAATATGTTTAGTTGAGAGATAAAACAGTGTCTATGTGTAGTGTGAGTATGTTTAGTTGAGAGATAAAACTCTTTGTGTAGTGTGAGTCAATGTTTAGTTGGGAGATAAAACAGTGTCTATGTGTAGTGCGAGTATGTTTAGTTGAGAGATAAAACAGTGTCTATGTGTAGTGTGAGTATGTTTAGTTGAGAGACAAAACAGTGTCTATGTGTGCTGTGAGTCAATGTTTAGTGGGGAGATAAAACAGTGTCTAGGTGTAGTGAGTCAATAGATAAAACAGTGTCTATGCATGGCGTGAATCATTGTTTAGTTGAGAGATAAAACAATGTCTATGTGTGGTGTGAGTCAATGTTTCGTTGCGCGATATAACAGTGTCTATGTGTAGTGAATCAATAGATAAAACAGTGTCTATGTGTAGTGAGTCAATAGATAAAACAGTGCCTAAGTGTAGTGTGAGTCAATGTTTAGTTGAGATAAAACTGTATCTATGTGTGGTGTTAGACAATGTTTAGTTGAGAGATAAAACAGTGTGTGGTGTGAGTCAATGTTTAGTTGAGAGCTAAAACAGTGTCTATGTGTAGTGAGTCAATGTTTAGTTGAGAGATAAAACAATGTCTATGTGTGGTGTGAGTCAATGTTTAGTTGAGAGATAAAACAGTGTCTATGTGTAGTGTGAGTCAATGTTTAGTTGAGAGATAAAACAGTGTCTATGTGTAGTGAGTCAATAGATAAAAAATGTTTATGTGTAGTGAGTCAATAGATAAAACAGTGTCTATGTGTGGCGAGTCAATAGATAAAACAGTGTCTATGTGTAATGTGAGTCAATGTTTAGTTGAGAGATAAAACAGTGTCTATGTGAAGTGAGTCAATAGATAAAACAGTGTCTATGTGTGGTGAGTGAAAAGATAAAAGAATGTCTTTGTGTGGTGTGAGTCAATGTTTAGTTGAGAGATAAAACAGTGTCTATGTGTAGTGTGAGTCAATGTTTAGTTGAGAGATAAAACAGTGTCTATGTGTGGTGTGAGTCAATGTTTAGTTGAGAGATAAAACAGTGTCTATGTGTAGTGTGAGTCAATGTTTAGTTGAGAGATAAAACAGTGTCTATGTGTGGTGTGAGTCAATGTTTAGTTGAGAGATAAAACAGTGTCTATGTGTAGTGTGAGTCAATGTTTAGTTGAGAGATAAAACAGTGTCTATGTGTGGTGTGAGTCAATGTTTAGTTGAGAGATAAAACAGTGTCTATGTGTAGTGTGAGTCAATGTTTAGTTGAGAGATAAAACAGTGTCTATGTGTAGTGAGTCAATAGATAAAAAATGTCTATGTGTAGTGAGTCAATAGATAAAACAGTGTCTATGTGTAGTGAGTCAATAGATAAAACAGTTTCTGAGTCAATGTTTAGTTGAGAGATAAAACAGTGTCTATGTGTGGTGAGTCAATAGATAAAACAGTGTCTTAGTGTGGTGAGTCAATAGATAAAATAGTTTCTGAGTCAATGTTTAGTTGAGAAATAAAACAGTGTTTATGTGTTGTGTGAGTGTGATGTAAGTTGATGCTTAATCAGTTTTAATTGTCATAATCTATATTAGATTGAATTTGTCCATCTGATTTCCCCCTTTTTATTATTTGGTTTCAAAATTTTAAAATCTAAGTCATTAGTGTTTGAAGAGTTTTTGGAACTGCAAGCAACTCAGTGTTCCATTATGAGAATTAATGATTGATTTATTGTTGTAAAATACCTGTTTTTGCCTTTCATATCTTATCATATCTACGCCTAAACTGAATAAGAATGGTGCAGTATTGTTTCTAACCTCAATCTTGACTTTGGTTCTCGGATCATATACATCCCCATAAAATTATCAAAATGTTTTGACAGAAACCGTTAGTCAATCAGATTGTGCCATCCTCAGAATTATGAGGTGGTGCAGACAAAAATGAGAATGCTTCATATTACTTCCTGAGGTTTGTTCACCAACTGCCCCGAGAGGTAAATCCTTTCAGATTCTGATCCCCCACCATAGCCTGGCTTCTAGGTTCTACAGTCGTAATAACTAATTTTGAACAATAAAAATTATGTTTCAAGTCACAGACTAGTGATTAACACCAAGTTTCATCAACTGATGATGGTTTCAGAGATATCAATTGAAGGGGAACCATCAGCAGAGTAGAAATTCTGATTCTCATCATTTTAGAGTGATTTCACAAACGTTTGGTCCGAGTCCACCATTAACCTTCAGTACAGATCCTGACCCTAATCCAACCCCAAATAGATAGATGACAACACCAAGTTTCATCAAAATCGGATAGATGGTATTTTTGAAAGGAAGAAACAAATGATTCACTAGGTCAGATGAAATGCAATCGTAATTGGTCTCAATGTTGAGCTAAAAAGTAATTCTTCCATACCCACGGATCCCTTTATAAAGAATGTCTGCTGTCA